AAAAAAGAAATTCCTCCCTAGTCTAAAATTCCCACCATTTTAAGTAAAAAAAAAAAAAAAGATGCCCATATGGGAAGTGTAGATAAGACAGTAGATGAACCGTTGCCATATCACCCAAACCAAGCACTTACAGGCAGGACACACTCAGAAGGCATCAACAACTCTTAACTCTTTTCTAAACAGCTCAGGACTCATTAATAATAATGCTGGTTGTATCCCTATAGACTGTTTTAATAACACTGCTACTGTTTCAATTATTTTTAGTTCTTCTAAAGCAGTGTTTTTCGATCTTTTTTTATCTCACAGCACACACACTTGAATTATATTGATCAAAAAAAAAGAGTGGAAAAAAACAATCTATTTACTGTGCTTTGAATGTCTTTGGAAAATAATTTAATTTATGATCTTAAAAAATATCACAGCACGCCTAAGGTCCTCTCTAGTACACCGTGGCACACTGGTTGAATGCACTACTGCGGTCACCAAAAAGTATGTAATGACAAATTTTCCTTCCTTAAATCTACCTTTGATTGCAGATTTAATTCCTGGAAATAGCCCAAACTCATTCTGAATAAGGTCCACAAAGGACAATGAGTCAGCCAATTGAAAAACGCCATTTGGGGCTTGGAAAAAAACCACTTTAAGCCCGTCTTTATTAAGGACAGATTGTAAATCGATATGAAATTCCTTAAGTGGATCTCCAAATATGCTTTTCATCACAGGAATAAATACACAGTCAAGTTTATAGAAACATTGTTTAAAACAGAAAAACTGTGGTAATATACAAGGTCAAAGATAGGAAGACGGGTGTGTAATGGTACAAATCCATGTGGGGAAGTACACAGCCTTGGAGAGTAACTGACCTGGAAGGCTACGCTCACAATGTGTTAGGAATAAAGCCGGTTTAAAAACAGCTATCATTTTATTACTTTTTCTTTTAAATATATATATATACCTACATACACATGTGTGACAAATGTTGAGAATATTTTCTGAATATTTTGGAATATGTGATTCCAAAAATTACGAGCAGTTTATTTATACTTTAATGTATTTTCTTTCTTCTTTTGAGACAGTCTTGCTCTGTGCCCGAGGCTTAAGTGCTATGGCTCAAATGGACATCTCTCAGGAATGATAACTTCCAGCTTGAAAACACCTTTTTCATAAGGTGTGCTGCCCCACCTAATATCTTTTTTTTTTTTTTTGAGATGGAGTCTCACTCTGTTGCCCTGGGTGGAGTGAGCATCATAGCTCAGAGCAACCTCAAACTCCTGGGCTCAACAGATCCTCTTGCCTCAGTCTCCCAAGCAGCTGGGACTACAGGCACCTGCAACCATGCCCCGGGTAGTTTTTCTATTTTTAGTAGAGACAAGGTCTCATTTGTGCTCAGGCCCATTTCAAACTCCTGAGCTCAGGCAATTTACCCACCTCGGCCTTGCAGAGTACTAGGATTCCAGGTGTAAGCCTCCATGGCCCAGCCCTCAGTTTAGTTAACTCCTTTAATTCGGTTCCTAATTTGTAAAGTGGTAATAATGATTTTATATGATGATCAAATATGAAAATAATACTTGAGGGTTTGAAAGATCAATATGGATAAAAATGTCACGTGGCAGTTTAAGGAACAAGTAGTCAAATGGACACATACAGTCCTGGAGTTTTCTCCTTCCTCGCCTCAAGACCTGACCTGAAAATAGTATTTTTAGTCTAGGTGCCACATTTCCGAAATCCTTCCAGCTTATCAGGATAGCAAAAGCTGTAGAAGCCAGGAGAAAGGGCTGAAGGAGCTTAGGCTGTTCTATTGGAAAAATACAGTCAGAGACAGTTCTTGTCTGCAAATATGAGAAGGGACACTACAGAGGGGAGTTTATTCTGTGTAATTTCCAAAGAATTAGGATGAGTTGCAGAGGCCTCTTCGATTTTGGAAAGAGCAACTATTTACCATCACCCCCCTCGTGAAAGGTGTCAGCACATCTGGAAAGCAATTTCTTTGAAGAAATGTAAAAAGTTCCCCATCAGTTGGAAATGTTCGAGCAGTAGAGATCGCAGATCAGGGATGCTGCAAAAAAGATTTCTGCAGAAGCGAGTAAGGGGCAAAAAGAAAAGATTTCTGAATTACTAAAGACTCATTATATAAGAAAACCAATCTGACAGCATTCACTACCAACCACCTGAGATAGCAGAGGGAGCTGCAAAGTTACGTGATTCACAAATGGGCATCCCCTAGTCAATTTCTGAAAATGTTTTGGACAGCAAACGTTTTGGGTATTTGGGCAAAAAATGTAGTGTCAGCTTCTATTTTAAATAGGAAAACATTACTGTTGTCCATCCAACAACTCCAACTGATACCCCCAAATAGCAACTAAAAACATACAGGCAGACACACAGAGTTGACACTTGAACAACCCAAGTGTGAACTGTGTAGGTCCCCACATGCCCAAATGTTTAAAATTAAATACATTGGACATTTTTGAGATATGTGTAATAATTTGAAAACACTGGTAGATGAACTATGCAGCCTAAAAAGATGGAAAAAATGAATGAAAAGTTAGGTGTGTCATGAATGGATAAAACATATGTCGATACTAGTCTATTTTATTATCATTTACTACCAAATATACAACAATCTATTACAAAAAGTTAAAATTTATCAAAACGTATGTATCCAAATACAGACTACATGTGGTACCATTTGCAGTCAAGAGACGAGTAAACAAATGTAAATGTAAAATTAAATCTGAAATGCATAAAATTGACTGTAGTACATACTATACTACCATAATAATTTCGCACCCTCATCCTGTTGCGATGAGCTCAAGTTTTGGGAGTATCTGCTTAAAAAGCCTGGGAAGCTAAACATCTCTACGGGAGTTCTTCTCTCCAGTGCGTCACAGTACAAAGTCATCTCTCTTGCATTTTGTCTATTTTTCATGGGTTTAGTGCAATACAGTATCTTAGAACAACACTAGGGGACCCACACAACGTGCCACTAGTGAGGCGGAATGTGCTCTCCAGAAGCAAAGTCACTTCAAGAAAAAGTCGAATTCCTTGACTGAGGTTGCCTGTAGGGGAAATGGTAATTGATCCCCCATATGAAGTTGTTTTTCCTGTATGCCCTGAGCTTTAGCAAGAATTTGGCCTCTGGGAGACCTATAGGGTCAGGAGAAGCAGTATCTGAGCAATGTACGTGCAGGAAGCCAGAAGGTTGGCCTCCAGCAGAGAGTAGGCCAAGACCAGGACAGAATGTATGGTAAAGATTCTCTAGATTCAGGTGGTCTCTTGAGGCTGGAGACAAGTCTACCATTTTGCCAAACAATTTGGAGACATTCCGCCTGCTGTTTTCCACATTTCCCTCTTTTGACAGTGGATAAGTAATTTTTATTCTTCTCTGCTTTATGTTAATAAACATTGCCCCAAGGTTTTCTCGTAGGACTCCCTGAGAGCGCCTGGGTCCCCTCACGCAGATTCTGGGTCAAACCTCTTCATTCCTCATGCCCAAATCCTTCAGTTGCCCACCATTTCAGGTACATGATTCATCTTATAAACAGATCATGTAAATTTTCAGTATCGATAAATACATTACAATACTGTAAATGTATTTTCTATTCATTATTTTATTCATATGATAGCATTCTCTTTTCTCTAGCTTACTTTTTAACTTAAGAATACACTATATAACACATGTAACACATAAAATGTAGGTTGATCGACTATTTATAGGTAAGAATTCTGGTCAACAGCAGGCTGTTAGCAGTTAAGTTTCTGTGGAGTCAAAATTTATATAGGAACTTTCCACTGCAGGCATATATATAACAATCAACTATCTGTGTATGTGTATAAAAACCAAAGCTATGGCTCGGCGCCTGTGGCTCAAGCGGCTAAGGCGCCAGCCACATACACCTAAGGTGGCGG